CATCATCATCATCATGAGGGGCAGAAATTATGCTGTGGTCAGACAAGCGTGTCTTTGGTTTCACGGCAGGCCATTAAAATACGAGAGGGGGCTGTAAACGTTCATCATCGGTGGAGATTTTTTTAATTATTTTTTTTATGGCTAAGCATGTGTGCGCACCGGAGCTGGGCACACCTTGCGTCTGATTCATTCAGCACTGACGAGAACAGCAAGGAGGAGAACAGAGGGGAATATTGGTCACATCCACCACGAGGTCATTCTCTATTCCCGCATCACATCACAAGCACACCTGGAACATGGCTCATAGTGATTTTAAACAAAAAGAGAAAAAAAAGGAAAGGGGGGGGGATAAAATCAGCCCAAAACTGCGGCTAATTAATTCAGATTCTAGATCCATCTGCCTCCTCAGTCAAAACCGACGCAGCGACGCACAGACACATGGAAAAGGAGAAAAGGGGCGAAGAAAAATGTATGAAATGCGCGTACCTTTCCCAAAAGCTTCCCTTTAATGTAGGACCTCCCCGTCTTGAGATCCGTCACAACCTGAGCCAGCTCCGGTTTGGGTTGATCGTGTTTATTCCTGCTGTTTTTCGCCGGGGCAGAAGTCTGTTGGGGTCCACCACGCTCCGGAGCAGGCTTAAATAAATCCGCATTCATGGTGTGGCACGAAATCCGCTGAGCCGCGGTGAAACAGCCGGTACTCATTTATCACAGCGGAATAAACGATCGACTCGTACGTGTCTCCGTCTCGCTTAAATATTTCTTCTTTTTTCCGTAAAAGTGCCAAGTGCGTCTTCACGGTACGTCCGTCTCTTTCAATTTTATCCAACTGGTGTGGACGAAAGGCGAACCCTGGCTATATAGTGGCACCGACGTCACGGAGTCGTGGGCGGGCAGGAGGTGGTGCACTGGTGGAGAAACTCCAGATGATTTGCTCAGACAGAAACTCAATCAAAAATTGATGTGGATTTTTTGAGAGGAAATATGAATGAAAGAGCTGATAAAAAAAGAATCGCTTGGTTTTGGCTCAAGTCTCTGAGACTGTTGGGAGGCCAGTGACCCGGACAGTGTTTTAACCCTTTATATACAAAAAGCCACTTTATGAAAAGAGGTAAGTAAGCATGTAAGGAGAGAAGAAAGTTTTTAGACTTTTGTAATTTAAAGGAGACTTTGTTAAGAAGAACAAGACTTAAACGCAGGAAAAACCTTTTACTAGGAAATTATTTCATTAGATATAAGATGGGGCTGGAACATATCATTTCCATTCTGCAAATAAATGTATGAATCAGTTGTTAGGGCTCCACAGATTATACATATTATATATGACCATATTTTTACAAAGAAACAAAAGTGTTGTTCTACTAAAAAAAAAAAATCCAAAACTTTCAAGGCTCCTACAGTAAAATCCTGGCTTAGATTTCCCCTGTGTGCAGTCCCCCCGGAGAAAGTCCTGAATACGGCTGCCACCTGGTGGTCAAAACGTGAAGCTGTCAAGCTCAGGTCTGTGAGGACTTGAATGTGCAGTATAAATGACTTATGAAAAATATTTCTCTAGTGACACAGTAGTGGTCAGTTATAAAGCTAATGTGCTTTTTTATTTTTTTTAAAAAGGTAAAAGAAACTAAAGAAAAGAAAAGCCTTCTCTAACAGCATTTGCACTCGGCTTTGCAAAGTGGCCTTCGCCCTTAATATTTGGCAGTTTTGTCCAGTGTTGACTGTGCAAATACAGTAATGAAGACCTGAAATAAAAAGTGGGCCTACTATTAATTCCAATTCTGGACCATAGCTGTTGGTGCGCCCTCTTTGGTGAAGGCCTGAAGAAAGCCTGATGCCTGATAGAGAGGTCACCCTCTGTTTGGTGCTCTTTGTTTTGACCATGATGGGCCTCAAGGACAGCCCAGCAGCTTCTTCATAATGTTGATACTGTGCATCTTTATCTGGAGAGTAGATGAGACACATGAGGGAGAAATGAAACTCTGTGACACTAGAATTTCAGAATGGCTTGACCATGCTTACGGTAATGTCACCACACCTTGCTAGTAATGGCTTGGACCCCCTTTGCCTTCAGAACGGTCTTAATTCTTCATGGCACAGATTCAACAAGGTGCTGGAAACATTCTTCTGATATAAATCTCCTGATCCACCAGATCCCAAAGGTGCTTTAGACTGTGGATTCCATTGGAGATATGGTGCATTATCCTGTAGGAATCAGCCTTTGGAAGACGTGTCCACTGTGGTCATAAAAGGATGCACAATAGGAGGCAATCTGTTGTCCATTTTTGGTGAGTCAGTGTGAGCTGTAGCTACACCTTCCTGTGTAGGAGCAGCAGTAAGTGTGGTCTTCTGCTGCTGCTTGAAAGACAGCCATTCACAGATGATTTTCTGCCTTGATTATAATGATTTTTTTAAAATTATTGTCTCCCCATCATCTCAAACACCATACCATGTCAAAAGTCACTTTAATCACCTTTCTTCCCTGTTCTGATGCTTAGTTTGAACTTCAGCAGGTGGTCTTGACCTGATGCCTACATATCTGAATGGAGATGCTGCCAAACAAGTGGGTAATTAGATATGCACGTTATTGAGCAGTTAATAACCATGCATTTAATAGTGGCCAGTATATGCATATTTTACACAACCCATCCATGTCTCCAGGACAATTACTTCTGCATGAGGCAAATCACATCTTGTAATTTCATAACACATCTAAGATACGACTCCATGAAATATTAACTGGGAAGGCTAGCTGAAAACGTCAGCCAGTGGATATAAAAGCATTTTATAAAAGCATTTTATTGCCAGTGGCAATAAAATGCTTAATAACTTTTTTAATCTAATTTTAAGCTTGAAGGACAGATGGAAAAACTCTGAGTTCAACAGCTGTATTTATGAGAGCAGAGAACAACCAGCAAAAGTGAAAACACACATTTTTCACAATGTCGGAAAACAAATCTGCAAAAATCAGTCACATCAAGTATTTCAGAACATGCAACTTAAAAAAAGGATTGTGGAAAATGTAGTTTTAAACATACCTGCATGCAGTAAAGTATTACACTAGGCTGACACAAGATAGTTTACTGTCTTTGTATGCTACATGACTTACTTGTGGATTTACAAAATCATACAGCTGATGTAAAGATTAAAAACATAAAGAAAACTATCCTCTGGTTTACTTCGTAATTAAGAGAACTTTGGCAAATTTATAGTTGACAAAAAAAGGAAGAAAGAAATATTTGCCAAGTTAATCTGTACTGATTTTCAACTACCATTGAAAATGAACAATTACATTTACCCTGGTCCAATTTAAACCACAACAAGACATTTTATTGAAACAAGCCAGGAAAACAAAAACAAGAGCTGTGAAATGACTGAGCAGTGGTCCTTTAACCCTTTAAGTGCGACTTCACAAAACACATAGGGGAATGTATGTAAGTGGGGAAGCACACAACATTTTCCCTGCTTTCTACCCACAGGTTGGACTCTTAATGTCAGCTGTGATGAAATGTGTGCGTTCTTGCAGTCTTCAGGTCATCATGTGATGGACTCCATCCTTTTACTTGTGTGACAGATGAGTTGTAGCCCATCACTAAGAACACCAGCAGCCTGGTTTTCAAAGCAGGGCCAAATTGAGGCCATCCCGAGCTTAGACATTACTTTAAACAAATTATTTATGAGCGGTGTATGTAGACTTTACTTTCAATAATTAAGTAATGCCTGCTTCAACCTTTGGAGCTCTCATTTGGTCCTGCTGTGGAAAAGTGGCAATATTTAATAGTCCATCATCTCCTCTCCTCTTAATTTCTTCTCTTGGGACTCTGTCCAAGCTTTGTTGATTGTTCTCTTCATCTCGTCGTCTCCCTCTGCATAAATCTTTTTCAACACATTCATCAGGCCCTCGCCGGGGTCAGCATTATCGTCAAGGCTGGGTTTTCTGTAGAAAGGCGGCAGGAAAATACTTTAATGGTGCAAACAATTC